ACCGGGTAATCTGACATGACAAATTTTAGCGACCGGGTAAGCTGAAACACGAATTGTGGGAGACTGGGTAAACTGGTTTGACGGAAATCGCGCTAAGCAGGAAAATATCGTTGGCCGGGTAATCTGCGAGGCGAATCTCAAAAACCGGATAATCTGAAATGTATCCAAGAACGAGTGCGAGTTAGAAATGTTCGGATTTTTGTTCATTTCTATGGAAAAGAATTTCCCCAAGGTGCCGTTGTGTTCCCCTTGTGTTCGTGCGTCGCCATCTCCCCTGGAGATCTCCGGGCCGGCACGGACCCCCGGGGCCGACACCCCGTGCGTCCGGACGGCCCGTTTTGGGACGCTCTCAGAAACTGCTGCTAACGAAACCGGAAAACCAATCAAACCTTCATCAAACGCTCTCGTCCACAAAAGGTTACGTAAGATGCCCAAGTTTCTCACCGAGATATGCCCCGGTGTGATCCACCCTTGGTAGGCCCACACGGGGCTCCTCACGCCGGGGGGCTATCGCTCAGTGCTCTACCACATCACGTTGAGTGGCGACGCATTGCCCGAGCCCGACGAGTTCGCTGCTAGCATTGGGCTCGACACGGCCAGCACCGGCGCAAAGGCCTTCTCTATGCTCCACGTGCTGCATCGGCGCATCAAGAGCGACGGCGCCGCCGCACTCGATGCCACAGCGTGATGGGCCTGCGAATGAGCGTGGCACTGTTGCAATAGGCGCGTGCCACTCGGCGCGGCCGGTCTGCATCGAACGTGTGGTGTGCGGCGCCCCATTAGCTGAAACCACATGCCTTGGCGTGCCTGTTGGCCCTGCCTGCCTTGGCTCGCATGCCGGCACCACCGCCGCGTTCCTCCCTCCACGAGGGCACACTTTGATCAGCACGCGCTTAGCATGATCTTGGTACGACAGGGCTGAGCGCCCCTCCCAACACGGCAGGGAGTCCGCGCGTCAGATATGTGCCATCACGCTGCGGTCATCTCGCGGCGGCAGATGAACGGCAGCACCGGTGGAGAATACGCGTTGAACGTCAGCCGCGGCGTATTATGGTCTGCATCTGACTGCCCCTAGGTAGCGTCGCCGTTCTGCTCAATGACGGCGCTCTCGGTCCCTTCGTCGACGCCGCCGGCACCGCGCTCGCGATGCGGCTCGGCTTTGATGAGCCCCGCGCATGGCTTGGCCGGCTGGTCTGCGCTCGAGCCCCTCCCCCGCCCTCGTCTAGAGCCGTTGATTTGTC